TATGAATATAAGAGTAATGGTTGATGCAGTTGTAAGAAGGCCTGTACGCAAACATGCCAAAGTGTCGTATGGCTCCCAGCAACCTTTGTTGGCCACATCAATGGTATCATTTCCAAACTTTCTTCCTCGGGACAACATTTTCAACAAAAAGAGTTAGCCCTAGAGAAAAGACCAAAAGGACATGAAAATGATATCATAGTACGTCAAGTGTAAAAATAAAACTGAAGTACATTTTCCCTCAACAAGAGAAGACCAATGATAGACAGATATGTGACTGAAAAAATAAGGATAAAAGAAAAGAATCTAGACCAAAATTACGTTTGCACTGTCCATAGAGGTTGACATATTGTTGTTTTCATTCTCTGAGGGCCTATAACATTGATGGCGATAATCGATTCGTCACTCAATCACAAAATATAGACCATGTTGTGACCAAACTTACCTCACAGACATAACGGTTTTCATCATACAAAGTAATCGGATGAATCCTGTTGTGTTAAATCCTGGGAGGTATTTTTAACGATAAATGTAAACAATAAGTCTGCACTGTACATGTCAACAAACTGAGGCCGCCATGTTGACGTGCTTTCCATTCATCGGCGTTGCCAACAATATCTGCAGTGAGGTTGTTGTGGTGATTGTGGTAACACTGAGCAGCCACGAGTAGCAGAGGTTATTTCAAATTCAACCGGGAATACTACCTCACCAACGACAGCTCCGTTTTTGTTGTACTGTCTGTGCGGGCTGTTCATGACTCTCTACCCGAACGACAAACGTTACCCGTTTTGACAAAGGTACCGTTTCATTCCTGACATTTTAAAATGATTACTGTTGAGACAAGTACCGCTCGGAACCTAACCGCGGGGTCCGCGGCCCCCGTGCTTAGCGCGAGCGCCTCAAGGTTCGGGAACCTAACAACTTGCGAGGATGTCGGGCATTACCGGAAACCGGGATCAGCATACTTGCTCTGCAATGTGCCCCAGTGGAAGGGCCTCACAACTAGGACGGCTACTGGTCGGACCGAAAAACCTTGGGCCATATGTGGCCTCACAGTTAGTCAAGTCAAGTCTAAGTCTCGTACCTATGATATGGTCCCTCAGAAGAGGACAATGATGTCAAAGGTCGAAATCAGAAGTAACTACCAAACTATAACGGGTGTCCAGGCTAAGACATGCCAGTACGTTGGGTTGCCTATGCACTGGCTGCAGGAGCAGCAGGCGCGGGGCGGGTGGCGGGGAAGTGGCAGTTCCTCCACCACTCCCCAGCCACCCACCCCGCGACAAAGGTGTAATGTCTACATTACACCTTACCCACGACTGCTGCCCCTGCAGCCAGTGCATAGGCAATCCAACGTACTGGCATGTCTTAGCCTGGACACCCGGAACATAGATGGGTGGCTCAGAGGGGTCGAGGCGATGTAGTACTAGGTGGCTGATTAACCCCGCTCACTTATGTACTATGGGGCGTTGCAAGGGGGTGGTTCGCAGTTTCGCGCAGGTTCCCGCTACCGCGAGTCCGCACGGGTCCGCTATTCTGCCACTCGCGGTCCGCGGATGCGATCAGCTAACCCACGAGTTACTCAAGCGAATCCCAGAAGCGCCACTGCGCCATATGCGCTTCAGTGCGCATTGAAATGCACATAAAAGGTGACACATTAGTAATGCGCACTTAATGTGCATTAATGCTGGATTTAGTCTCCTGAGGCGAGGCTCGTAATTCTGCCCTCACCTCAGCTGAGGCACGGGCCTCACAGATTTCGAGGGCTCTGATTGGCTTGCCAAGCTTGGATAGCCAATCACAGTCGTCTTCAAAATCTTTGAAGCCCGTGCCTCAGCAGAGGTGAGGACAGAATTACGGGCCTCGCCTCACGAGCACGAGACTAAATCCAGCATAAATGATGCGATGCGCATTTAATGCGCCACCAAGGTGTCACCGTGCGGGCGGGTTGCATGGTACAAAACTGAGCGGGTTGATCAGCCATCTGGTATGTAACAACGTGGTTGAGGTCAAGTTACGGGGGTTTGGTAAAAGTCTCTCTGAAGGGCGGCTTGTGAAACTCTGCATTCCAGGTAGCAACCCGCCACTGCATTAAATGTGCTTCAATGAGCATTGGAATGCACATAAAAGGTGATACCTTGGTGGCGCGTTAAATGCGCGTGTTGCGCACTTAATGCGCATGAAATGCGTATTAAATGCTGTAATGCGCTTTAAAAGCGTCACCAATGTGTCACCTTTTATGTGCATTGAGGCGCATTTAATGCGATTGGCGCTATTGGGGAAATCCAGCAAAACTGCATCATGGCTGCATTATACAGGGTGGTCCATAGACCCCCTCTTTTATTTTGCTTATACTGTACTGCACGCAGGCGTGCGGGCGGGCTTGCCTACCGTCGCTCACCAGGGCGCCTTATGGCCCCGAGTGAGTATCCAACCCGTCCGCACGACTGCATGTGGTACAGGTACTGTACCGGGTGTTGCATAAAAGACGCAGGCGGGCGGGTTTGCCTACCCGCTCTGCCCGTAAGGCGCCATAGCCCCTTGGATAGGCAAACCCGCCCTAGCTGTGTCTGTTATGCAACACCCGGTGCGTATAAGCAAAATAAAGGAAAGGGTCTAAGGACCACCCTGTACAGTGTGGTTCATATATGTAGATCCCTTCCTTTAATTTGCTTGCAGGCGTGCGGGCGTGCTGAGCGGGCTTACCGTCACTCACCATGGCGCCTTCTGCGAGTATGCAACCCGCCCGCACGCCTGCATGTTGGTAGGTACAGTAGGTATAAGCAAAATAAAGGAAGGGGTCTATGGACCCTTTATGACTTAAATTCGAATTTTAGGCGCATGTAATGTGCAGTACGCGTATTCACGACGTGGCAACAGCCCAATGAGAAAGGAATTTTTTGAAAGGTGACAGAGGACTGAAACTTGAAAACTCGGGCAAAAAAAACAGCTATTTTGAGTTTAAAATCTAGATGCGAATCAAATTAGAAAAACGCTTTTCATAGCAATTTAAGTTAGTTTATGGCGGTTCTTTTAAGGTATAGTTTGCCTATAGTTGAACATAACTGTGACTGGCATGCGCAAGAAGAATTTGAAAGTTATGAAACTTTAAAATTCTTCTTGCGCACACCAGTCACGTTTAACTATAGGCAAACTATACCGTAAAAGAACCGCCATGAACTAACTTAAATTGCTATGAAGAGCGTTTTTCTAATTTGATTCGCATCGAGATTTGAAACTTGAAATAGCTGTTTTTTGTCAGTTTCTGTGTCACCTTAACGTCGATTCGACGATGAAAAAGTCGAATAAACGCCACTTTGTCCCCCACAGATTTTCGATATTTTGACGTTGATTCAACATTGATTGACGTTCATGTGTTTATTGTGCCCACAAGTGGCTAACCTGTACCCACACATGACAGTTTCTATCCAGCGAGCGGAGGGTCGGGGGTGATGGGAGGACTGTGTGAATAATTAAACAATGCCGTTTGCAGGTTAGTGTCGTCAAAATAGATGAAATTCGCTACTTAATTGTACTTGGGTCGACTGATGCGGATTTTTGTTCTGATATTGATCAATATAAAAAAAGTTCCCAAAAATCATGGGAAAACCTTTGTAAGCCAAAAGCCACTTGGCCATAGTCTACGGGAAAACATCAAAGTAATGCCATTTTACATCAAGAACTCATATTAACGTCAAGCGTTTCAAGCAATTTCTCGGTCATAATGACTCTCTTGATGTCAAATAACATCACCATGATGTTTTTCTGTTGACTTGGTATTTCCATTTTCTCAATTTCAGCTCCACCGCCGTGGCGTCCGAGGGATGCCCTGAAAAGGGTCATAGAGGCTGCAGTGATAACAGAACAGTCCGTTCTCCGGTTGTATTACAACTTTCTACCCGCCGACCAGCTTCGCGGCAAGGCTTTGGCGAATCTTGGGATACCGAGCAGCTTTGGTGGCAAGATCAACTGGAGCAGGATCGGGTAAGTCTTTCGGTCCCCTATCAGAGACGTCTCGATTTTTCTCCTTCCCTGTGCCCCGTGCAAGCAGGTTGCACATGCCCATAGATAGGTCAGGCTTGAGGTACAGGATAACACAATACGCCACTAGCGCCGCGCACTGTTGTACTGTACCGCACGCACGCGTGTGGGCAGGTTGCCTACTCGCACGGGGCCATAGCTTGAACGAAAGAGTTAAACTCTTTCGTTCATAGGGAGCCGTGGCGTGGACAGCGACGATAAGCAAACCCGCCCGCACCCGTGTGAGCAGCACTCTGTCACTACGAAAGTCCCAAGGAGTAATTTGAGCCCCGACTGTCACAATCAGGTCAAAATGTCATAAAAATGGTCCCTCGTTTTGTTGGTCACCGAATACGACGTCCACAAGTCAAAATATTATTGGTCATAATGACACCAGGATGAGTGCGGAGGGACTCAAAATTAGGGTCCATTGTTCTATCATAGTATATAACTGTTGATAATGAAACTTAACCTGCTTTGTCGGCAGGAAAAATTTCAGTCTACGCCCATCACCATTAAAAACTCTGTACGTGCCAAGACCGGCCAGCATGCCCCTGGCCGTGCAACCCCGAGCCAGGCGAGTGGTGAGGTGCGATGCCTTCGAGTTGCCCAGCAGCTTCGAGGACGGCGACCACGCCCTCAGGACCCTCAGCCAGGACCATAGTCCAACACGCGGCGGCCCACGCTCCAAGCGGCGTCAACCTCGGTGTCAACCTCGGCGTCAACCTCGGCGTCAACCTCGGCGTCAACCTCGGCGTCAACGTAATCATGTATAGTACAAAATTGTTATTTTTATTTACTGACAATTTTTATTTCTCGTCACGAATTTGAATAGTGAAGGGTTCGACTCAGCAGGAAATTGGGGTAGGGGGGGGGGTGTCGGGGTGGTGGTGAAGGGGATCTGGAGGTTTGCTCGAAGAGGCGAGGCGCGCATTCGACAACATTGTAAATCATGGCCAGGTCGCTGCTATACGCCGCTACGCCGCCTCGCCTCAGCCCTCGCCCCTCGTCCCTCCTACTCTCGCAATGGCTTTACAACACCGCTCCAACTCGCCCCCCCCCCCTCTCCCCTTTCCCCACACTACCACCACCACCACCACCGCGGCCATAATCATTACTTTATTCTGTTGGAAACGAAGCGACTAGACGGCTCGCTACAAAGTGAAGTGGTGCCGTGCGTGGTCACTTGTTCACTCGGCTGCGGCAGCCTCCGGCCGCCACGGCCGCCGAGGGCCAGAAGCGCCGGCCAACACTTTCCACATCTGTTCCCTGCACCGGACAGTATTCAGCAAAATTTGCTCTAGTTCTTATGCACCCGCGCTACCTTATTGGCATTAGGCCTAGTGTGTATCGGCACTTTCACCGGACTGGGTAGGGATGCAAACAGAGGAGAGGGGGAAGTGTCCTTGTCATCTGAGAGCCGGGCGGGGGCGAGGGCGGGCGAGGCTGGCGAGGCGGGCAAGCTCAAGCAACAATAAGGCAGCGGTAGTCGGCATATTGGAGGATATTGTTCCACATTGTCGGCGCGCCTATGTGTCTGCTTGTGTCGGCGAGTGCAAGAGGCTGGGATTCCGAAGAGCGCCGCTCGCAGAGCCACGATACACCAACAATGCGGAATTAAATTATCTTTCGTTGCGACTTTCGCTGGTCGTAGGTCTCGGGGTCTAACACGAACAAACAACACGTTGTACAATAATGCCATTTTCGCTAGTTCCGTAAATATCGCGGTTGCCGGGATGGGGCGGGGATGCGGGAGTTTGCCTGCCTCCGCTGCTCCGGCCGAGATTGTGTTGTTATTCGCACTGATTTATCTCCCCGCCCTTACGCCCCACCCCACGCCGTTAACAAGGGCCGTCGGCGCCTTTGGCCGGGCGGAGAGCAGGAGGAGCAGGATGGAGCCGCTGCGCCGCGCACAGTCACCTCGGCCCGGAGCACGCCGATGATGAGCACCGGGCGCCCGACGCGGCCCGGGCCCGCCGCATGCGTCAACTTTCTCGGAACGGAACCCCATGTGAGACGAGGACGCCGCGTACTTACGCTGACGTTGACTCGGCGCGAGTTTGTAATAAAGAGCCACCCTCAGGTGGCGCAGCGGCGGCCCGGCCCGGGCCACGGTGGCTACCGTGGCTACCGTGGCCAGGGCACGCGGGCGCGCGGCGCGCCCCCACCAATTCAGCTCATATGAATATCATCTAGCTGGGGAAAAGCTACCGCCGAAATAATTATACGGTGTACTGCTTACGACGAGAGAGATTGCCGCACATTGCCGAGAGCTCGCGCCCGCCCGCAGCGGTCAGTGGATGGTGTGAGCGCGGAGCCCGAAAAGTGGGTGCGGTGTGGGCCTAATGCCTAATCATTGCACCCCCCTCGCGTCCGCATGTGGTCTCGCTCACGCCGGCCAAGTGCAGAAACTATGCAATCATTAGCGTGGGAAGTGACGCCAGCGGAACGGCGAGGAGGGCGCGAGCAGGGCGCGAGGGCCGCGGGGCAGTCGGTGGCGCGGAGGGCGGCCCGAAGCGCGGCGCGGTGCCACCAGAGAGCAGCGGCGGCGCCGCCGGCCACCACCCGCGCCGCGCTTATCGCGAATTAAGTAAGGCATCACCGCCGGTAGCCCCCCGAAAGCCACCATGATGGTCGAGTGGGCGATTTTATCAAGTCGTAAACTAAAAGGATTGAAATGGCTCCGATGCTCTGCCCCCCCCCCCCCTAGTGCCCGGGGCGGCGGGCGGCGGCGGCGCGTTGGACCCCCATTGTATTCAATAGAGGAAAGCTCGGACAGAATAAGGGAGGGGGGAGTAGGGGGGAGAGGAGGAGCACAGCCCGCTGAATATGGCCGTTATAAAAATAGCTTCTATTCCTTACAACTGCGCCCGCCTTCCCACCGCCATAAAATGCGCCCCATAAAAGTAGAAGCCGGAGGTGCCGGGCCGGAGCGGCATGGCAGAGCCGGAGGAGCAGGGCCCCGGAGCCTGGCCGGGCAGGGCAGGGAGGCAGGGGCACCCGGGGCCGGAGCGAGCCGGCTGCGCCCGTCCCGAAGGCATGGCGGATGCCGGCCCGCTCTGGACCTCTGCTCCAGGACACCTTCCAGCCGACTCCAGGCGGGCGCCCCATCCTTCGCGGCCCCCTCCGGCCCCTCGGGCCGCGCCGTGGCGTGTTTATTGCGCCTGATCTCAGGCTCCGGGATTTACAAGTCAAAGTTAAGGAGATTGGACGACGGCGGGGGAAAACACGGCAAACCGTTTATGTACCTACCGTAAATATTAGCTGTTTGCACTTTTTTTTCACCTTTTTAGTAACTATTCATCTACTATAAGCAGCTCCGCATTTTCTTTCCACCGTTTTTTTTAAAAAAAGGCGCCCGCTTTTTTGTTGTTGTTTGCGGATCAGAGCAGTGTGCAGTGCCAAAGTTAAGGTGCCGATCGCACGCCGATTAATATTGTTTTTCGCCGACGGCGCGCGCGGTCGGTCGTTTTTGCAGCCATATTCCCTCATGTGACTCTAGTCTCGCACGTCGCCCGGAAGGCGATCCGCAGCGTTCACTAAATGTTTTACGACTGTCCCGCCCGCCCCCGCCGCGCGCCACGCTCCGCCGCCGGTTCATCCATTCTAACTGGTATACGATCGAAAGCATTCGTGCAGCGCCGCCCTCCCCTCCCGCTCAGACCATTATTCGTGTTTTTGCTCGGAATATACTTATTTATCGTAACCCATGGCCTCCGTCGTTCTCCAGCTCCAGTCCTCGCTGATTGCTCTAATCCAGCAGGGAGAGGTCTGGGCCCCTCGCGCCGGGCTCGCCGCGGCGTCACGGGCGATGCGAGGGGTGCAAGATTGTAAACACAACTGCCATGTATGTCGGCGATGAAGGTCGCCAAGTTTCCAACACTACGCGTTCGCGTGCCGCGCGCGTCGCGGCGTGGTGGTCTGCCTGTACATTGCAATAGGCACGCCACAGCAGATGCAGAGTGCAGCAGCCGCCGAGGTTTGAAGTCGTGCACTTGGTGGGCGGGCGCGTCGCGCTCCAAACTGACCGACCGGCGGCGCGGCGGGTGGACGCCGTGGAGGTGGGCACGCCCGTCGCGCAGCCGCGCAGACCCGCTGCCTACCCCCCGGGCGCTGAACACCGCGGAGACCCGCTTCAGCGGCGCGCAGCGCCCAATGGCCCATCCTTTCGCTCTCTTATTTTTGTGTCTTCTTTATTTACAACCTTCATAACGTGTCACTAAAGGGGTCATAACAACCGCCTCTGCGCGTCTGCGGCGAGCAGCAAAGTGGGGCTGGCCGCGGTCGTCAGCGGGGCGATCAGTTAGTCGATGACCGGCTTTTTGACGTTTCAATTTGCCATAAGCACACAGCAGCGCCAGCTTCAGTCATGGGCTCCGCGTAAAATACAACCCGCGCGGCGTGGCGTGGCGGGGAGGTAAGTGTTGTAAACGTAATGGGGCTTCATGAATGGGGCGGGAGGGCGTCTCATGGGAGGCGGCCGGGGGCCGGCCCGCGGGCGAGTCCACGGGGCCAGACAGTGTGGCGTGGCTCTCATAATGATGAATATTCTTCTGACTGTCCAAAGAAAAGGTTGATTTTGTGCGTACAATCACGGTTAAAGCAGTGTCTGATATTTTGAGGAAAAGGGAAAACTTTCACGATCTCCCAAAATTTGATGAACGCTCCTCAGATTTTTCTTAGCCGCAAATCTCCTCAAAAATTGTTGGAATTTGTTCTATTTTTCGATTAAATCCACCTCAAATTATGGGAGTTGTTCAAAGTTTCTCCCTTTTTCCCGCCTGCGCCTCAAAAACTCAGCAAAAAGACAGAATAACTTTTTCTAGTGCGCGTGCAAATGTACGTTTGTTTTTGTGGGGGTGCCAGGGTGCCGCTTCGGAAAGAATCCGACGACAATCGTTTTTATTTTAAACGCATCCTTTTCTTCTTTCTCATTTTTTTTTTAAAGCAATTGTTTGTCCTCAGATTTGATGGGCTTCGCTATGCCACCGCATCAAATCCTGATCCCGAAGCCGATCGGTATCTCAATGAGTTGCACTACCCCACACACACGCACGCGCGCACACACCACCATACACACGAGAGAAGATTTGGGGCCAGAGAAAAACCGAACTCATTTGCATACGCCGACTAAACGACTTGTTTTGACGAATGCGGCGTGAGGAGGGAGGAAAGGTGCGAATGGCTTCCTGAGCGGTTCGGCGGCGACGTCGAGGCGAGCGGACATTCCAACATGGCCGCGCACACTGAGCAGCTCACATGCAACATCGACGACTGTTCCCTGCCGCGCCAGAGTACTGCCCAGTCCAAAACTCATGAACCCGATACAATGATAAACTAAGTGTGTGTAAATGCTTAACACTTGTAAGTGTGCACCTGCAAGTTAAGTACTTGCAGGTGTGCAACTTTGTGCAACTCCGTAGTTTTGTACACTTGCAAGTGTTCAACTCAAGTGTGAAACTCCTTCTTTGCGCACTTCCTACACAGTGTGCGTTCAATCTAAGGAAGTGCTCAACTAGGGAGTTACACACTTGCAAGTGCATAACTACAGAGTTGCACACTTGCAAGTATTCAACTTGCAGTTGAACACTTAGTTTATCAGTGTGGAAATCCTTCGGATGCCATTAGTGCACATGACAGTTTTGAGTTGTCGTGGGGTCCACCGGTGAGTTTTGGACTAAGTGAAGTTCATCTGACCTATTTTCATCTGATTTTTTAAGGAATTGGTTTCTTTTTGTTTGTTGTTGTTTTTGTTATGTGTTGTTGCCCTGCCCTT